ATTCATGTATAAGTGGACCCTCGCTATTCAAGCCCTTGTTGTTCAAGGGTCAACTGTAACAGGAGATAGCTATTTTTCTTCATCTATCAACCAAATGGCAAGCATCTATTTCGTAGGCCACTCTACTGAGCTTAATTATAGATGCAGCAATGTTACCTATAATTATTTTCTTGATGAATAAATTTTCAATTTCTCCTCTGATCATTTCAGAACATCTTCCAATAACTCATAAAACAACTGAAGTAAAATTTAGTGCCGGAAAATATGCTCACCAAACTTTGGTAATTTAAGTTGACTAAAGGTTAAAATTAAGTTTAAAATAGTTCACACCTATACTGCATAATCCAACAATTTTAATTTCAGTTGAAGACATGTTACTAATATAACTATTATTAAAAGAGTAGAGGATGTGTAATTAACCATATCTTCTAAAACATGATTACTAAAAGAATATATAACATCAATATTGACCTTGGTTTCTTACATAAGTGTTGCTAACTCAATAGTGAAAGAGACACCATTAAATTTTCTGAACCCATGAGAGGTACTGGAGATGGGGAGTGGAAAGTGTTTGGTTCAGGGATATCTGAAGAACAGAAGGGCAGAGATTTCTTAAGTGACGCCTCATCTACAAGCTGGAAATCCCTAATAACAAGTAAAAAGCTTATAAATAACAGGTGATACACTCACTTCACTGGTTTTAGTAAATTACCAACACAAAAAGTATTCAAGTTCTATAATAAGCTGCACTGGTCTTAAAAACAAGTGGAAAATTTGAACTGATTAGTCATACTCCTTTGATTACATTGTTCGTTACAATCTTTTTCTCAGTAAACAGAAATAACTAATTTTTTTGTTCTTCATTCTTTGATAGAAATTAAAATCTTATTCTGTGAGGATTACAGAATACTATACTATAACTCAAATTATGAAGTAGAATAAACTCTTTAATAATTATTCTTCATCACAAAGTGTAAAGAATAAGATATAAGAAAACAATTTATTTTTAAAATTTAATATACTAAACGCTCAAATATGTTCTACTATACAATAAGTTCTTATCTTAATTTACAGGGTACTAAAAACAATTTTAAAATGCTTAATGTTACCTTTTATATTTTAATTGGATAAGAATATATATTTGTTTAATGCAAATCAGAATCACTATATTAAAATGAAGGTTCTTGAAAACTCAGTGAAGCTGCTCTACAATATACTGAGAACGGATACAACCAATAAAAAATTCTAATTTTAGTTTTGATTTTACAGGGGTTTTTTTGGTGACTTCCCCAAATAAAACAAAATCAAGATGCACAAGTACAGACACACAAGAGGGCAGACCTATATAAGATAATGAATTGCTACTACACAGACACTATTTATCTTTTGATTATTTTTGAGTCTTCTTGCAAAGTAGGGCTATAATAAATTTTCAGAAAAGATCTGTTCTTCTGCTAAGTAACAACACACTTTAAAATGTCCAGAATTTTATGCCAATATTACATAGAAAACTTGACAGATAAAAAAGTCAAACACATTACTAATTTTATTCATTAAAACATGTATATAAAAGTCCTTTTTAACTACCTAATGAATGTTTCATATCCTAATATAGGGAGTGTCATGGTGTCCACATCTTTGAATACATAAATTATCTCAGTTAAAAAAATAAAAGAACAGAGTACAAAAATAAGAAAGAATGAAAATAAGAAAACTTTCTTTTCACAGGACATAACAGAATACATTAAACACTCCCAAGTTATAAATAAAACTTTTTCATTATTATTTCGTGTTAGATAAAAAGTAATTTTACTTTAACTCATTTTATCTTTTCTTTTTTTTTAATCAAGAGACAGGATGTTATTCTGTCATGCACGCTGGAATGCAGTCACATGATCATTGCTCACTGCAGCCTTGAACTCTTGGGGTGCAAGGGATTCTCCACCCCTGGTTCCCAAGTAGCTGGCACTATAGGGGCACATCACCACATATGGCTAATTCTTTTTATTTTTTGTAGAGATGGGGTCTCACTAGCCCAGGCTGGTCCCAAACTCCTATCCTCAAGCTATCTGCCCCCCATCTGCCTCCCAAAGTGCTGGGATTACAGGGGTGAGTTACTACGCTTGGTCCAAATTTTTTGTCTATACAAGGGAAAATGTCTAGTAAAATATGCATAGGTGCCAATACCATAACTGTTCAAACATCCTTATGACTAAAAAGGCACAAAATTTCATCTTTTTAACCACTGCCACCTGAAGTTCAGAAACATCCTAGGGAAAAAAAGGATAAACAACTTCGTCAATAAAGAGGCTACTATTATTTCACTACTGTCTGGGAGATCCATCGTGGGCTTACAGGAACCCAATGGACACTGCCATTACGTGTAGAAGTGTTTGTCCTCCACCCTTCCACCCTACCTTCCCCTAAGAAAAGGAACTCAAGGGGGCCATGGAAAGGGAAGGATTCTTCCCAGAAAGAAGACCAGACTTCTTTTTCTCCTCTGTCATAGTCCTTACAGAGTCAGGCAGTTTAGGGGTTGCAGGGGGTGGGTAGCAGAAATGTGATGTACTACAGAGGAAAGAGTCAAAGACTAGCAGTGGACATTACACATGGAGCCTTCTGTCATAAACCATCTGAGGGCATAATGGCTTCTCTTCATTCACAAAGGAAAATGCTTCAGAGTACTAGACTACTATACTCTTGATGGTTTAGCAGAAAATCATGTAAATCAAGGAACAACACACACGTAAGAACATGTGGCTGTCTCAATAATTATTCTGGACTAAGTCCTAGGAAGAGCAAACCTTCAATGTTACAAATTAACCTGGGGAGTGGGGAGCTGTGAGGATCAAATGAGATAAAATACTGTGAAAGCTACAGAATTCTGTAACATATAACTCTAAGGTTTTATTAGATCATGACTTTCAACCAAATTCCTCTTCTTAGTTGTAAAAATACTGTTCTTTCACGGTCAGTGTTTAGGAGTTGTGCTTGCAAATCACAATTTATCAGATGGCCTGGTCCTTATTAATGTTCTTCTCTTTACGTAAAACTTAGACTAAAAGAAAATCACTGTTTCTATGATTTTTATCTTTTTTGCTTTTTAGAGTTGGGGTCTTGGCCATGTTGCCCAGACTGGTCTCAAACTCCTGGACTTAGGCAATTCTCCTGCCTTGGCCTCCCAAATTGCTGGGATTACAGGCATGAGCTACAGTGCCTGGCCAGAAGTCAAGGTTTCAAAGAGGCTTTTAAGAAACAACTATGATGAAAGCTTTTAAAATAAAGAGAAAACTACTTGGAAGCTCCAAGAAGGTATTTAACAACTTTTTTCTCTAGTTTTCCAAGGAGGAAATTAGAAGGGAAGCAGTTATTTAATGATTACAACTTAGTTTGTCTAGTTTTCTTTACCTGAATTCGTCTTTCTACTCCAAAACTTAAAAGCACTATAAAGTTTTGTAATCCCAAACAAAGTTAATCAAGAAGTAGGGCTTTCCAGGGTATATGCAAATTTTGCTCGTTAGTAGCCTTCTCTCTCTACTATGTACTAGAAAGAAGATTTAAAAACAAATTGTTCTCAACGGTGTGTCCCCAACCTCCCTACCCTACGCTGCATTGCTTTGAGGCTAAAAAAAACACCTTGTTTAAACTAGAGGTTTCTCCAAGCAGAATAAAAAGCAGGAATCATTATTTACTCCTTGAAATTTGCCCAATTATCTCTATCACACCTACTCTAGCTTGGAATAGTATACTCAGCTCCACTGGACAGCTCCAATTCTGTGTAAAGACACCAGCTGGAGAAACAACTGCCTGATTCTGTTTTCCTATAATGACAAACATTTGAAAACTAAAATGTGATGGTATTTGAAAAATTAGGTTTCCTATTTTTAATCACTTGAATGGATAAATCACAAATTTCTAATTCAATCACAATGATTCTTCTGTTTTGATTATGTGGTTTAAATACATAGTCAAAATGATAAGAACTGTGTCCAAAATAAGAATAAAAAAGGAACATGCGATATCTTAAAGGTTCTCCTATGAATGCAGCATGTTAGGGTTCTATGTTTTGAGATCATACTCATATTTGTGAGGTTCCTGGACAAGTGATTTCCTTATCCTTTCATAGCCTATGTTCATTTATTCTATTTGTTTTTATTGGCAGTAGTAATGAATAGTAATTTTACATTTTTTACTCTAGTGAAAATTTGCAATTTTTAGTAGAATTAATTTGTTTCAGAGAATTCTGATGATAAAAAATAGATGACAGGATTTATATCAGAAAATAAGTTTCCTTGTTAAAACAAGCTACAGAAAACTGTCTTAGAATAGAAATATTCCCAGATTAAGAAATGTTCACATTTACACGGTATTCCCTAGACCAACTGGGGGCTGTATACTATTTTTCTTTATATATGCTATCATCATAAAGTGCTTTCTATAAACTGATTAATGAGTAAGTCTTGACACATAATTTTTTCAAAAAAATAAGTACATCTGATTTATAAACCTAAATACATCATCAATCACCAAAACTTTACAAATGACTGTAGTTCCACCTTCTCATCATACAGATGAAGAAACTGAGGCCCAGAGAAATTAAGTGAAAAAATCATCCAGGTTCTAAATCTAACAGAACAAAATCTAAGGCCTCATATGGCCAAGTTGACGCTCTTTCTATTATACCTATGCTAGCGTTTTTGTTTCTGTTTCCAAGTTTCTTTAGATTGAGTATGCTCTGCTTTATTTTATGCCCATTTAACAAATGAAAAGAACAAGCTAGGTACAAGGTTTTCAGATTTTCACGTTAATTACTCTCAAATGCTTTGTAAGTTTTGTTTACCAACAACACTTTTCAGGTTTGTAACATTTCTGCCTATTAACTTGCAGGAAAAAGGAAAAGCAAAACAATCTGTGGACACTTGTCATATGCTTGTTCCAAGTGTGCTACTGTACTCAAAACATCCACTGGAGGGAAGCAAACCCTAGATTTTGAGCCTTACCTGCATTGGTGTTTCACTTCCTTGTCGAAAGTCTTCAATTTGCTGCTGTTGCCAAGGAGCTAAACTGTAAGAATCCTCTGTATTTCTACCTTCCAAAGGATTTGTCCGCAGCTGCTCTGTAAGCCACATCTGAGTCCTTACAGAAGGCTGAATGGGAACTCCACCTACTGCCTGTTGACCAAGCATTAAAAATTTTGGAGGTTCAAAAGCCTCTGAGCTTGTCATAATGGGCTTGCTTTCAGGTAAGGCACTATATGTCATGTCTACAGTCTGTCTCCTAAGAGTTGAGGAAGAGGCTCTAAAGTCCTCCTTGCTACAGCTCTCAAATTTATATTTGCAGTCCAGAGTTGATGACCGTTTTTTATTTACTTCCTTGTCCTCTAACTTAAGCATCTCCATACTATCATGTAAACAGCTAGGCCCAACTGTCCTCAGTTGTGATGTTAAAGCCTTAGCCCTCCCTATCTTCTCCAAACCATTCCTTGACTCTTCTCTGCATACAGTGCCACCCTGGCCACAGTTATCCGGGGCAGTGAGTTTGGATAAGGATGACCATTTCCGAAGTGGCCGGAAGTCCTTCATGTCTAGTGAAGAGTCCTGCTCCCCCCTACTGTGGTTTCCCAATGTTTGCATGAGGCTTGTACTCCATTTTGAGCCATCTGGTGTCAAGGATTCCCTAAGTTTGGAAATTGAAGCGCTGGAATTAGACGGCATCACATGGGCAGTAGGAAGAGTAATCAATGATTGACTAGGTTTAAAAGATAATGTGCCACTTGAAGTTGAATGATCTGGAAAGAAAAAAGATGGTCAAATTAGTTAAAATTAACAGACAGAAGAGAATGAGGTAAAATGCAAAATGCCAAAAGAAAAATCTGAACCTGGATTCATACCACAAGCTTTTCTCTTTTTTTTTTTTGAGACAGAGTTTTAGCTCGTCGCCTAGGCTGGAGTGCAGTGGCAAGATCTCAGCTCACTGCAACCTCCGCCTCCTGAGTTCAAGCGATTCTCCTGCCTCAGCCTCCCAAGTAGCTGGGATTCCAGGCGCCCACCAGCACGTCCAGCTAATTTTTGGTATTTTTAGTAGAGATGGGGCTTTGCCATGTTGAGCAGGCTGGTCTCGAACTCCTGACCTAAGGTGATCTGCCCGCCTCAGCCTCCCAAAGTGCTGGGATTACAGGCATGAGTCACCGTGCCCAGCCCAGCACAAGCTTTTCAAAAAGATTTCCTCAAAATGAGTAAATTACTATTATCCTTTTACCTGAAACAAGTCAACATACTTTCAAATTGGATTTTCTAAATATGGATACGTAATATACAGCCTTTTACCATCTACTGTACTTACAGGTGAAAAGTTATTTAAAATAGGTTTATATTTACCCTAATTAAAGTATTGTATCTTTAAAAGGAAAAATCCAACTCCTTACTGAGAGGTCTTATTCATAATCCAGCAATGAAGTCTCAGACACAACTTTGTCAGAAAAATGATATTTTTCAGTGTCTTTCCTGAACTGTGAAAATCTATGCCAGATCTGAACATTTTAGAACCTCCCCAAACTCTAATTGAAATGAGAAATGAGTAAAGGTGTTCCTTCAATAATGAAAAATAGTCCCAAAGGGTTCACTTCCAGTATCATTTAATGGCATATATATATGTGTGTGTGTGTATACATATGTATGAATATATATGTGTGTATATATATATTTATACTCACCCCAAGCTAGAACCTTAGAGTCTACTTTGATTCCTTTCTTTTTATATTTACTAAATCCCCAAGTTATATATTTTTACCTCCAAAATAGCTGAATTTCTATTACCTTAGGTGAGGCCCTCACATCACACTCTTCTATACAAATGAATAGTTTCAATAGACTAAATGAAAGGCTGAAAGATAAGTAAGGGTTTAAATACTCAATAAATTCACCATCAAGTGCCATGTTATCATCATATATATCAAATTAAAACCAAAGACTATAATTTTGTAATCAAGGGATATCTAGAAAGGGGGTAGCAACTTAAATTAGTGTGTGGGGAGGAAGTGAGTGATGGAGACCTTTGCAATTTATTCTGTATCTCCCCACACTGATCGACTCTTATACCAGAAGATATCTATTACTTGTATTCTCTTATATTGTCTTATGGAAAAATTTATGTTGATAAAGTTGTAAGAAAATTCAGATTAAAACGAGCCAGGTAGACTAATTAAAAAAATAAAATTCCAGTGGGTCTTGGCACAGATTTTGTTAACCTGTACATGAAATGGGAAAAACATTACAAATGAAGGAATATGAGCAAAAGCATTGTAAGGGATATTTATCATATTCAAGACTGCCTATCAGCTTCTAAAGAAACTTCCTGCATTCAGGAAAATTCTCACATTACTGACTCCATCCCTCCCAAAATATATTTCAGACCTCAAAATCCCAGTACACCCTGCAACTACGATGCAGACATTCAGAGGCAGCAGCACAAAATTGCGGTTTTGGAAGTAAGTCACATGATAAAATGGACTCAGTGTGGAGCTACCATTTTTGGGTGGTATAGGCAACAGCAGAGGCATCACCTTTCCACAACAGCAGTGACAGACGTGGCCCCACAGTGGCTGCAGAATCAAAATTTCTATCCCACTGGCAGCAGCTAGGCAGCTTGGTGGTGGAAGACTGACAGTTCTCATATATGATTTGAGGCATATTATTTGGAAGCTTATCCTTAAGCCCGGTTCTCCAGCCTTCCTAAAAATTCCTTTAGGAAGCACCAAATATCCTTAAGTAAATTTCCTATGTGCTCAACCAGCCTGCAAACAACTTCTGCTAATTGAAAACACTAAATTATCCAATCATGAAGCCAAAAGAATGTGGCTGTATAAGAAGAAAAATAAACCCATGTACCTACAGTATGGAGTTAAAGTACCAAGGAAAGTTGTCAAGGTAACGGATAGGTAAAGGTGAAGCAGAATTATACACATCTTCAAATGCTCTGTAAGTAAAGAGCCTGGCCTTCATTCAGCATGAAACATGGTATCACTGAGTTTCCAAACAAGGGAGTGAATGATATGATCAAAATTGTACTTAAAATGACTGATTATTCTGACAGCAGAGTCGCCAATGGATTAAAGCAAAACAACTGGCAAACACAGTGATAAACAGACTATTCTGGCAATCAGGAGAACAAGAAAATAAAGGGGAATATGCTACTGAGGGTTGGTTCTAAATAGAAATAGGACATCCCCAAAAGTTTATGGAACATTTGTATTCACATATTATAGCATTATATATATCTTACATATATTTTTATTAATATTAGTAAGGGAGTACTTATATTAAAATAATCAGAGCCTCTAAAAGATATCTTAAAAAAAATATACAGCAAAGGTTAAATAAAACAGTTTTGATTTCATAGAGTAAAATATAGGGCTGGGTGCAGTGGCTCACGCCTGTAATTCCAGCAATTTGGAAGGCCAAGGCAGGTGGGTTACTTAGAGGTCAGGAGTTCAAGAACACCTTCACCAACAATAATGAAACTCCATCTCTACTAAAAATACAAAACTTAGCCAGGTGTGGTGGCGGGCGCCTGTAATCCCAGCTACATAGGAGGTTGTGGCAAGAGAATGGCTTGAATCTGGAGGTTCAAGGTTCCTGGAGGCGGAGATTGCAGTAACCAGAGATCATGCCACTGCACTGCAGCCTGGGTGACAAAGCTAGACTCTGTCTCAAAAAAAACAAAAAAACAAAAAAACAAAAAAATATAGAGCCTTTTTAGATTCAAATTCTGGCTCTATCACTCAGTAGTTATGCGTGCTCAAACATGTTAGTTAACAGTTACCTCCTCCATAGAATGGAGATGACAACAGTGAGAATTAAACCAAAACACATAAAATATATAGAAGAATTCCTGGCAGAAAGCAAAATGTTATTATTATGTCATTAAAAAGCTACAAGTAAATGTGAATTTCAATGTAACAAACCAAGGATAAATACCCATACATATAAAGAGCTCCAACAAATTAACAACAACAACAAAATACCCTAGCAACTCAATTTTAAAATAGGCCAAAAAAAAAAAAAATCAATAAGCAAATCAACAAACAAGAAACACAACTAGAGAATATATATTTTTTTAAAAATCCTCAAACTCACTAATAGTAAAGGTACATTCTCTATCATACTCAGAAAACTATTAAAGGCTGCAAATATACTACAGTGATGAGAACGTAAACTGTTATAGTCTTTGGAAAAAGAGAAGCAATTTGTACATATCACTGTTTAAAATATGAATACACATATGTGAACACACATATGTAGATATGTAGAAATGTGCAGAGAAAAGATCCGAAAGAATACACACAAAACTTAATAAACAAAGGTAACCGCTACATAGTGGAAAGGGGGCAAAAGGAGAAAAATACTTCCACATTTTACTTTATACAATACCTTATTTTAATTGTTTTCCAAGGAATATAACTTGACCATGTGGTCAAACTTCTGCACAGGTATTCTGTTGTTCTGTGACCTCGAAGAGTTTAAAATACTTCTAAAGTATGAATAATATAAATAGGTAATTTTCTCACTTTCCATGTCACAGCGGAATAGTATAAGACCCAGTTTGGCTGCTTCTTGTATCCAATAATGTGCTACTTTCCAATCTGACTTTACTAACTCAGTACTTTCCAAATGCAAAGAAAAATCAGCAATGAATGAAAAATCAATTTCACATCAGACTAGTGTTTATTCCCTAAATCTGAAGGCAGTTGATATATGCTGTCCATAGACTATTATACTGAATATAGAATTTATTCCTAAAATTCCCTTATTACAAATTCTCAAATCTTAGCATTAAAAAAGTTGCCTGAGAACTGATGCCCTACTCCAAGAGATTATGATCCAGTAAAAGCAGAGAAGGGCCTAGGAAATACCACTTCTAAATAAGTGATTCTGCTGCTTCATTTACTATAACATCATTCCATATGGGTCTGATTCCAGTTCTGAAGTCTTTAAGCTTAAATATCCCAAGTTCAACCATAACCAGTATCTAAATTCTAGTGTAAAATATGATTAACTGTGACATTCAGAATTCATTACTGTCAAAACTAAGGATCGAAGTTTTGTCTACTGACATACATATGCACATAAACACACATGCACACATAACACATAAATGAAAAAAGAATACTTGAAAGAATTAAATATTTAGTATTTATAAGAGAATTAAACATAAGAATTGGCCGGGCGCGGTGGCTCAAGCCTGTAATCCCAGCACTTTGGGAGGC